TATATATATATATAATATTACCTCCAAGAGGACTAGATGATTTATGCTGATAAAGTTATCAAAGTTCTATATTTGTATATATTACTTACATTTTCAACTTTCAATTTAAAATCTTAAGAAAATATTGTCTAATATTTACGGTATTGTTTATATTTAAAATATTTTTATAAGATCAAAATGCAAGATTTAGAACAATCTAACTTGAAAGAGTCATAAGTCTAAGATTATGCAAAGATAGATTTCTCAATTTTGTTTAGAAAATGCATAATGTGATTTGAGATATTGAACAAGTATTAAAATGGATCTATCAATGGAGGTAAGAAATGTGAAAATACGTTAAACTTATTACGTACTTTCATTACTGATAGCTCAATAGACCAAGCCAATGTACCTGTCTGATGGGCACACTAAGTCTTTTAGTAGTCTAAGGGCCGAACGAGAGCTCTAATCCAATGCACTGGTGAAGGGTTGGTACCTACAAAAGACACTCCAACGCTCAAGTCAGGACAAGCTCGAATATATAGGATAATTAATGAACAGTAACGTTACCTTTTGACCTGAGCTATTTATACTGACATTTATGGGCCCTGGACCCCATGGGCCCTGCAACATAATTACCGCATTAGGTAATACACTTTAATCGGCTAATTCATCCCTAATCTCTGATTAAGAATACCAAGTGATGATAGGCCGATCCAGGTGGCCGATTGACGTTTGGTTACCTGGTCCTGCCATTCGGCGGCCGATAGGGTGGTGGCTGAACCCTCCTACCTGTACAATTACTTTTATATTCATGCTATTGTGATTTTTTTTATCCTTTGATCCTCATTCTCATTGTGCTTAAAAGGCTTGTTTTTCTAATAATTATGGCATGTATGTATTTAATATATCTTGTCACCCATTTTCTAAGATGTCTTAATCATACTAGAATCTCAGCCAAATCAAGCAGCTAGTACAACTACAAACCTTAGACTCAACGTATTTGGACAAAAACAATCCCATTTGGACAAATCCGCAGTCTACCACATATATTACTAGTCCATTTTTCAGTTTTACATATAGTAGGATGAATATTGTTGTCTTAAACTAGGTATTAATTAGAGTGCAGTGTGAGTATAAAATCTTACAAGAAATTGAGCAACATATAAATGATAATGACTCGTAAGTATAATGTATTTTAGATTATGAAATCTGATGTGAAGTTGACTTATGTAATTAATTTGTAGATCTTTAATGTAACTATCCAGCTATTAAAATGTGTCAACTAAGCGTGTAATAGGTTATAAATTATGATATAGGCATGGAATTAAACAGAGAAAAAAGGACACTGTTTTGATGTTTGACACAAACAAGAAGACAAAGGGCCATTGAATCAAGTGGTGGACAGAAAGTGAAGTGTAAGGGCACATGCGTATGGAGAAGGTAATCAATTGTGGGAAGATACATTATCAGACAATTGCTGAAGCCTCTAGCCTGTACCTGAAGCTAGCAAATGAACAAAATGGGTCTTTTTCAATATTTGAACATTGATCGGTACTTGGCATCCTCATAGAACGTAAGAACTCCTTCCCTAACACGAAATGCCAATGGCACAAAAGAAATCATTACCTCAAGTCACTACAAAAAAATATGTAATTAGTAGGGGTTTTTTTCTGGCGGTTTCAAAAAACCGCCACAAAATATTATATTTCTGGCAGTGTTTTAACCGCCACAAAAGAATGATAGCCAAAATCTTTAAATACTTGCCAACTGCTAAAATATAATATATTTTCGGCGGTTTAAAACCGCCAATCTTTAATTAAATTGAAAGTTCTTTACTCTTAGATCATATATATAAAATTTTATATTAATCCAAGATGATTTGATACTTCATTTTTATAAAACAAAATTGACATAATATATTCATTTCAAAATATACTAAAATATGAATACTTTGATTATCTTCGAGTTGTTATTCAATTTTGACAAAATTTGATATACACATATAAAGTGATATGAATTTTCAATCTAACGGTTGGATTTACAAAATTCACAATTAATATAAAGTTATTAAGCAGTGTAACGCTTAGTAAAAGTTACATCGGTATCATTTGAACTCTCCTCTCTATATATATAGTTTAAATTAAGGTAAAGTTCTGTACAAATTCATAACTAACCACCAATTTATTTAAGATTTTCGATCTCTTATTAATTTATTATTGAGGCAAAATTATTTTTTAGCCTTCCACTTAATATTTTAAATTTTAAATTATAATTAATTTGATTAACCGGTCAAAATATATTGTACTATCCGTACCGCCATGCCGAGCTCGAGCTCGGCACAGCTGCGTGGAATGACCTCGGAACACGCATTTGGAGACCTCGGTCTAAACGAGATCCGCAATCCAACCAGATCATAACCGATCTTAGGAGATCTCGGTCCAGACGAGATCCGCTATCTAATTATATCATAACTGATCTCAGGCCCAAGGCCCAACGCAACCCTAACTCACACTAAGGTATGTGCATTACTTATACGAGACATCTACTCATACAAACCCTAACTTTAGCATCGAAGTCTCTTTTGCAGGTACCACCCCCATCTTAGAGCATCAAGCGTACCAGCGAAGGAGACTCACCAATCTTACTTGGAGGATCATCTCTACGACAAATTCCCAGTAAGAACATTTGGCACCCACCGTGGGACCGATCAAGACAGCTCTTATCAGCCACGCTTATGGTATTCACCAGAAGCCATAGCAGACGCGCAACAGACGACGCAGATCACTCAACTACCATGGACAACGAAGCCACATTGAGGAGACTGATCGACCAGGTCGAACAGATGCGACAACAACACAACGCCGATCTACGAAACATGCGTGCCCAGCACGAAACTGACCTAGCGGCGATGCGGACCGCCAATGAAGCTGACCTAGCGGCGCTACGCGCTGAAAACGAG